ACGCACCACCATGCCTGGCTAATTTTTGTTTTTTTGGTAGAGGCAGGGTTTGGCCATATGACCCAAGCTGGAACTCCTAAGCTCAAAGGATCCGACCTCCTTTGCCTCCCAAAGGGCTGGGATTCTATGAGTACCCATTCTATGAGATTTGTGAGCCACTGCAGCCGGTCAGGTTTGGGTTGGTTTTTGTTGTTGTTTTTGAGACAGAGTCTCACTCTGTTCCCCAGGTTGGAGTGTAGTGGCATGATCTAGGCTTACTGCAATTTCTGCTTCCCAGGTTCAAGAGATTGTCCTGCCGCCTCAGCCTCCGAGTAGCAGGGATTACAGGTGCCTGCCACCACACCCAGCTAATTTTTGTGTTTTTAGTAGAGATGGGGTTTCACCATGTTGGCCAAGCTGGTGTCGAACTCCTGACCTCAGGGGTTCCACCCACCTCAGCCTCCCAAAGTGCTGGGAGGACAGGTGTGAGCCACCGCTCCTGCCGAGGTTTGGGCTTCTAATGATCCCACCCACCAAGTGTGAACATAGTCCCGGACAGGTAAGTTTTTGCTCCTTTTCCTCCCGCCCTCCTTTTGGAATCCCCACTATTTATTGTTCCCATCTTTGGGTCCATGTGAACCCAGTGTTTAGCTCCGACTTAACAGAGAGAACACAAGGTTTTCTGTTTCTGCATTAATTCACTTAAGATAATGGCCTCCGGCTGTATCCATGTTGCTGCAAAAACCACGATTTCCTTTTGGTATTTAAATCTTCCAGTTTAGCACTGACCTTGGTGGGAATAATTTCTTTTTCTTTCTTTGTTTTTCTAAAACAATCCCCAAATACCTTATTAGGTTGCCCAAAAACATCTTGCTTGCAAATTAATCTACCTAGAACCAAAACAAAATTTTACAGCCGCTTGAAAGAGACCACTTGAAGGTCATTAAAATGTAATTGTGGCCAGGCTCACGCCTGTAATCCCAGCACTTTGGGAGGTGGAGGTGGGCAGATCATGAGGTCAGGAGTTCAAGACCAGCCTGGCCAACATAGTGAAACCCCATCTCTACTAAAAATACAAAAATTAGCTGGGCGTGGTGGCAGGCGCCTGTAATCCCAGCTACTCGGGAGGCTGAGGCAGGAGAATTGCTTGAGCCTGGGAGGCAGAGGTTTTAGTGAGCTGAGACCATGCTGTTGAACTCCAGCCTGGGCGACCGAGCAAGACTCCATCTCACAAAAACCAAAATGTGATTGTAATAATGTCCCACCTTGCCAGTCTCACAGTGAGTTAAGCCAGTAGATACGCAGATTGCCCCCTGGATCTCTGTCCACTTCTTCCTTTCCTGCTACCTGTGGCTCAAGGCAGTTTCAGGATACTGTCCTTTTTTTAAATATTTATTTATTTATTTTGAGATGGAACCTCACTCTGTTGACTAGGCTGGACTGTAGTGGCACGATCTCGGCTCTTTGCAACCTCTGCATCCCTGGTTCAAGTGATTCTCCTGACAGTCTTCCAGGCAGTTGGGATTACAGGTGCCCACCACCACGTCTGGCTAAGTTTTTGTTGTTGTTTGTTTGTTTGTTTTTGAGATGGAGTCTTGTTCTGTATCCCCCAAGCTGGAGTGCAGTGGCACGATCTCAGCTCGCTGCAACCTCCTCTCCCGGGTTCAAGTGATTCTTCTGCCTCAGCCTCCCCAGTAGCTGGGATTATAGGCATTTGCTACCACACCTGGGTAATTTTTTTATATTTTGTAGAGATGGGGTTTCACCATGTTGGCCAGGCTGGTCTTGAACTCCTCATCTCAGATGATCTGCCTGCCTAGGTCTCTCAAAGTGCTGAGATTACAGGCATGAGCCACTGCCCCTGGATAATTTTTGTACTTTTAGTAGAGACAGGGTTTCACCATGTTGGCCAGGCTAGTCTCTAACTCCTGGCCTAAAGTGATCTACCACTTCGGCCTCCCAAAGTACTAGGATTACAGGTGTAAGCCACCACGCCCAGCTGGCACTGTCCTATTTACTTTTGTTTACCTGCCACTAGAAAACCCTGGAACTTTGATCAGTCCATCCCAATTCATGAGAAACAGGCTCTGATATGGCACGAATCTGAATCTTGACTCACCACCATCTATGTGCTAGGTAGGCATGTTCTGGAAAATTTTTCCAGACAAGAAACCCAAGCGGCTCTCCGGGGATCGGAAGAACACACTTTATTACGCTGGTGGGCCCAGAAGGGTTCACACCCAGAAGTCTGGACCCCGGCTAAGAGGAGTACACAGTTTTTATAGGTGAAGGGGCAGGGGAGGTAACTCAGGACTTTAGACAACGAGGCAGTTTCTCTTAAGGTTTTCCTGTTAGGAAGCAGTAAGCTGAGGCACAGAAGCAGGAGGCAGTCACTAACAAAAGTAGGGTCAGTTTTTAAAATAGGGAGGGTTGCTGACAAAGTGCTGACAAAATTCCAGGCAAAATTTCCACTTCAGGCACAATGGTAGCTGCTTTGTAAGAGCTCGTTTCATGATCAAAGCATCACATGGGTACATGGTAATAATGAGGATTGGGATGAGGAAGCGGAGCAGTGGAGAGCTCCATGTGACCGACTGACGCTGAAGCTCAGCTCTTCTCCAGGGCATGTTCTCTTGGAGTCTGCTGCACCCAACGAGGACAGAAGGGACACATTTGGGATGCAAAGATGTTTCCTTTTCCATCTGTAACTAATTCACGTATGGCCGAGCCCTTCAAAACAACACTCCCTGTTGACTAATGGAGTTCAGATTGGTTCTACACTATTCTGAGGACATCGTTGGCAACCTTAGGTCATGTTTCTCGAAGCCCTGATTTAGGCATGCTCATCTCAACAATTCCGCAAGGCCAGGGGAGCAGATGAAGAAAAATCTCTGTGCTCTCAAGGGAAGCCGGAAGAGCCGTCCTTGACTACTCCTGGGAACGTCCATTTCCAGAGAAGATAGGATGAAGGGAGGCGGACCTTGCAAAGTGCTAAAAAGGGGCTTAACTAGGTGGGTCCCTTGGAGCATTTTAACAAGCCTCCAGGAGGTAATCTGTTTCCACTGACGCTCCAGTGGACAGGGAGCTCGGCTCATGGCTTCAGACAGTGAGTCCTTTCTGAGGGTTAGGCAGGCTTTCTTTCTGGAAGTGGGAGAAGGTGGGGAAGTGGATCAAAGCCTCTTTTGGTGATACACTGTGGACTGTGAGTGGCAGGTCCTGCCTGATGTGGCTGCCTTAAAGTTTTTTTTTTTTTTGAGACGGAGTTTCGCTCTTGTTACCCAGGCTGGAGTGCAATGGCACGATCTCGGCTCACCGCAACCTCCGCCTCCTGGGTTCAGGCAATTCTCCTG